TGGGTGTGAGGGAGTAGGGGCTGGGTGCCTGGACTCCTGGTTCTGAGGGAGGAGGGGCTGGGGGCCTGGACTCCTGGGTCTGAGGGAGGAGGGGCTGGGGGCTTGGACTCCTGGGTCTGAGGGAGGAGGGGCTGGGGGCCAGGACTCCTGGGTCTGGGGAAGTGGGTGGAGGCGGAGACCCCAACACCCAAGATTGGGGGGGGCGTAGAAAGGAGCGGGAAAGTGCAGGGCTGCCTGTGGGAGCAGAAGTGGAGGAAGCAGCTGCTTTCTGGGAAGGCTCTCAGATGGAGATGTCATCACCGAGGTCTCCCTCCCTCCCTCCCTTGCCCTGCCGGGTGGGGAACCCAGCCCTTGGCCCTCCTCCGGGAAGAAGGGAGAGCAGGGAGGGGGGTCAGCAGCTGGGAGGAGGCGGGGTCACCGGGCCCAGAGCCAGCAGCCCGCCCACAGAAGTGCCCTTGGAAAGGGCGTGGACCTGCGGGCCTGGATTCTGGGTCCCCCAGACGGTAGGAGCGGGGCAGTGGGACCCCCTGGGATAGGAAGGAAAGCATTTGCTCCAGGAGGGCTTGGGGGCCTGGATGTCTGGGTCCCCCCCACCCCACTCCTGGGAGGAAGCGAGAGCTGGAGGCTCCGATTGGCGGGTGATTGGCGGGTCCCGGGGAGGATGAGGGCTGGGGGTTGGCATGTGGAACCTATAAAGTGGGAGGAAGGAAGTTGGGGGCCTCCAGATGCTGAGGAGCTGCCTGGTTCTGAGCAGGCGGAAGTGGCCCTTTGGGGGTGACGTCCCTCCGCAGTGGCAGCCAGACTCTCGTCCCGTCACTCAGGTAGCCGTGGACTTTGCTTTTCTTTGAAAGCCGCCCACTGTCCAAGCCCCACCCCCAACCCCCAGCGTTTCCTCTCTGAGCCGTTCACACCGCCCAGTCGCCCCAGTCGCCCCAGTTGCCCCCCGACGGACGGACGGACAGACAGACGGAGAGCTGGAGCCCAGCAGGTGAGCATCGTGGGGGGCAAGCGGGGGGGGGGCAGAGGCTGGCAGGGGTGAGACTCTGAAGGCGGGTGAGGGGAGGGCAGCTGGGAGACACCTGAGGATAAAGGTTGAAGGGCAGCTGAACCGCAGGGGAAGTGCCCAGGCTGAGACCTGGCTCACCTGACTAGGCCACACCCCACCTCCCGGAGTCCCCCCACCCCATCCGCCCTTCCTTCTGCCTGGGAGCCAATGGGGGCCTCAGAGGCAGGCAGCCAAGATCTGATAGGCCTGGACCCTCCTGACACACACACACAGACACAGACACACAGACACACACAGACACAGACACAGAGACAGAGAGACAGAGAGACAGAGAGAGAGAAAGAGAGATTCATCAGTGGCCCTGTCATCCTTGCAGAGCCCTGGGCATGTGGGGCTACCTGGCCCTGCTGCCTGCCTTCCTGGCCCTCTGGGCAGCCACCAGCATCTGGACTGTGTGAGTGTTATGGGTAGATGATGCCTGGGTCTGAGGGAGGAGGGGGCTGGAGTCAGGACTCCTGGGTTTGAGGGAGGAGGAGGCTGGGGGTCTGGACTCCTGGGTCTGAGGGAGGAGGAGGCTGGGGGCCTGGACTCCTGGGTCTGAGGGAGGAGGGGCTGGGGGCCTGGACTCCTGGGTCTGAGGGAGGAGGCTGGGGGCTGACTCCTGGGTCTGAGGGAGGAGGGCTGGGGGCTGACTCAT